TTTTTTTTTTTTTTTTGGCAGAGATGAGGGTCTTGCTATGTTTCCCAGGCTGGTCTTAAACTCCTGGCCTCAAGGAATCCTCCCTCTCAGGTCTCCCAAAGTGCTGGGATTACAGGCACAAGCATGAGCCACTGCACCTGGCCTGTATTTTAGCTTTTAGCACAATATTTAGCACATAATAAGTACTCATTTGAATTTTAAAATAATTATGGTTCTTTACAATCTTCAACAAGAATTGCACTAGAAGCTGTCAAATAGAAAGCTTTAGAAACTGGCATTTAATATATCCTCATCCTGTCCCCTCAAAAATAAGTTTCAGGCCGAGCGCGGTGGCTCACGCCTATAATCCTAGCACTCTGGCAGGCCGAGGCGGGTGGATTGTTTGAGCTCAGGAGTTCGAAACCAGCCTGAACAAGAGTGAGACCCCATCTCTACTAAAAATAGAAAGAAATTAATCAGACAACTAAAAATATATAGGAAAAATTAGCCGGGCATGGTGGCACATGCCTGTAGTCCCAGGCATGGGACTTGGGAGACTGAGGCAGGAGGATCGCTTGAGCCCAGGAGTTTGAGGTTGCTGTGAGCTAGGCTGACACCACGACACTCACTCTAGCCCAGGCAAAAGAGCGAGACTCTGTCTCAAAAAAAAAAAAAAAAAAAAAAATAAGTTTCACGATGATAACTGATACTATTTTATCTAGAAAAAGCAAGGAAGCTCTCCTATGTCCAAGAGCAATTTCAAAGAACTATCTGAAAGTAGGCAATAAGAAGTCATGTCTGAAAGGTTTTCTAGAATAGAGCTACACCTAAAACCTTGGACATGGTAGTTGTAGCCACAGCAACCATGTGCCTCTAAGGAATAATATATATTTGTGAAATATAAAACATCTGTTTCTAAGACCTGGGATATCGTCTACCCTCTCATTCAATATTTCTGCCAATAACATCTCTCAGGGCCCACAGTTAGTATTTAACCAGAATTAATCAACTACTACTTAGTAAGTAGCTAGAATGCTCAAGGCCCCACACTTGCCTGAATGTTGGACTAACTCCAATTATCACGGATAACTTGCTTCTTACAGCAGTGTATGTCACTTAGCAAAAAGAAAACAAACCCTGCAGTTAACCAGGTTTCTTAAAAGTGAAGTCACAGTGTAATTATCATTCTTTTATGGTATGTTTATGTTCCCGGATTCTAACTCATATGTTCTTTGTGATTTCTCGGAAGATTTCAGGGACATTTCAGCATCCCAGGTGCCCCTTAGGCAATCCACTTCATAAGGGTTCCAACAAATTGCATATTTCTATAGTGTGTAACTCTTTTTGGTTCATACTTAACTGTTCTGAAATTTTCTTAAGAATACCTTTTTACATGTTTTTCTTATACACCTATGTAGTTAAATTTTACAGTCAGCATGACTAAAACACACACACAGTGGGTAAGTTAATTTTTCTTTAAATGAAAAAAATATGTATTAGATCATTAAATATGAAATGTCCGATTTCAAATCAAAAGTGTAGTTATTATATCTCAAACGAGAAATGGTACAGTTAATCAAAGTATGTACCTAAACTATCAACACAGTTTTGCCATCTTAACAGTAGCTTGCTTATGCCAGTAATGAAGAAGCCTGGATAGCGAGTGGAGATGAAGTTGAGAAAGGCGTTTTCCACAGCTTGTTGAGAATTGAATATTTTTCCTTGCAAGAAGTAGTCCAAAACCTGAAAGAAGTGGTAGTCAGTTGGTGCAAGGTCTGGTGAATATGGTGGGTGACAAAGAGTTTCCAAGTCCAGCCTCTGTAGTTTGAACAGCGTTGTTTGTGCAACATGTGATCAGCATTGTCTTGGAAGAGGATTGGCCTATCTCTATTGACCAGTCTCGGCTGTTTAATTGCAAGCATCCTCATGATTTCATCCACTTGGTTGCAGTAGACATCTGCTATAATCAATTGACCAGGTATTATGAAGCTGTAGTAGATAATACTAGTGCCAGATCATCAAACAGACACCATTAGCTTTTTTGGATGAATATTCAGTTTTGGACTGTATTTCAGCACTTCATCTTTATCCAACCATTGTGCTGAACACTTGGATTTTCAAAAAGAATCCATTTTTCATCACACGTAACAATACAGTGTAGAAATGGTTCGCCTTTGTGTCGTGACAGCAAAGAAAGGCAAGCTTTGAGACCATTTCTCTTCTGACAATCATTGAATTCATGTGGTACCCATCTATCCAGCTTCTTTACCTTGCCTATTTGTTTTAAATGGTACAGTATTGTTGGAATAATAATGTCAAACCTTGCTGCTAATTCACTTGTAGATGGAGATGGATTCACTTCCACTACAGTTTTGAGCTCATCATTATCCACTTTGGTCTCAGGTCACCTACGTGGCTCATTTTCAAGATTAAAATCACCAGAATGGAATTTCTCAAACCATCAATGTACTGTGAGTGCATTAGTCACATCCGTCCCAAACACTTTGTTGATATTTCAAGCTGTCTGCACTACATTGGTTCCACAAGGGAACTCATATTCAAAAATAACACAGATTTTTGACTTATCCATGGTTTCACAAAAATTGCTGTAAAAAAAAATTTTAAAGATAATCACAAGCCAAACTGTGCATTTGAAAGACTGAGGATGTACCTTCACAATAAAAATAAAACAAGTGTCGAAGTGAAATGTCAGACTTAGTACTGACAGAAAAGGAAATCAGACATTTCATACTTAATGACCCAATGTAATTATTCCTCAGATTCATACATTTCTTATCATAGTGACACTCTTTGTGTTAAATTGGGTTTTTTTTTGATTTGTTGGATGTAAATGAGTATTTTGAAGAAAGACAGTTATTGTAGTGAAAACCTAAAACATAGACAGTGTAAGTCTTATTTTTCCTATAAAATTTTAAAATGTTTATTTTTTTCAAAGTAAGAGCGTTGACCGGGCGCGGTGGCTCACGCCTGTAATCCTAGCACTCTGGGAGGCCAAGGTGGGAGGATTGCTTGAGCTCAGGAGTTCAAGACCAGCCTGATTAAGAGTGAGACCCCATCTCTACTAAAAATAGAAAAAATTAGCTGGACCTGGTGGTGCGTGCCTGTAGTCTTAGCTACTTGGGAGGCTGAGACAGGAGGATCACTTGAGCCCAGGAGTTTGAGGTTGCTGTGAGCTAGGCTGACGCCATGGCACTCGCCTGGGGGCAACAGAGTGAGACTCTGTCTCGGAAAAAAAAAAAACAAAATAAGAGTGTATGAAATGTTGCATTTACACAGATACTTTATGTGTGATAGACCCAATCCTGTTGTATAACAGTAATAATATCTTTTTTATATTTTTATATAAATTTTATATAATTTTATATGAATTTTCTAACTGAATCTCAGTTTATTCTGTGGAATGTTACCTTTCCTCAGTTTTGAGTTGCATAAAAGCCTTGAATTTCTTTTAGATTGTAATGTGTTCACTACCATATCTATATGGACTTGTATGGAACTTGTAGGTCAGAACTGTTTGGTTTCCATAAGTATTTTGGTGGCTTCTTTAATCTTTTCATTATCATCTTTAAAATTACAAATATCTTTGTTGTATCCTGAAAGTAAAGCTCTGTCTTGTGAAGCAATATAATATCTCATCATAAAAATATTTTATCTGTGTGTGTGTGTATATATATATATATATATATGCCCTTTTAACTTTTTTGTTTTTTTGAGACAGAGTCTTTGTTGCCGAGGCTGTGTAGTACATTGTAGTGCAATCATAACTCACTGTAACCTTGAATTCCTGGGTTCGAGCAATCCTCCTAGCTCAGCCTCTGAGTAGCTGGGACTTAATTAGCCACCATACCAGGCTAATTATTTTTTGTAAAGATAGGGTCTTGTTAAGTTGCCCAGGCTAGTCTCAAACTCCTGGCCTTAAGTGATCCTTCCACCTTGACTACCCAAAATGCTTAGATTACAGGTGTGAGCCACCATGCCTAGCCTTGGTTTTGTTTTGTTTTGTTTTAAGAATGAAATGTGTATTTTCCCACTGCATTTTATAAGTTCATGGTATGTTTTCTTTTAAATAGTAACTATACTTCTCTGACTTTTTTTTTATGTGGAAGGAACAAGTGAATGACCGCCTCTTGCTATCATTTCTAACCCTGTGTTTTTGTGACTCTCTTAGAATAGTAGCAGCTTATAACAAACCAAACAATTCTAGGACATAAGGAGACACAACAGAAAAAACTGCAAAGCCATAAAATAAGTCTGGAAATGTGTGGTGGCCAGGAGAAAATATGAACAATAATATGAGATAATTATAGTCCTAATTCTGTTAGGTACTATATTGGCAGTATTTTGTTGGAAACATAAGTCATTGATCCCATATCAAGGAGAACACTTAGAGAAGAAGGCTAGGAATGCAGCATGAGGAAGGTATAGGCACTGGAGTGAGGGAGTGAGTCACATTCTGAAAACCAGTGCTCAAGTGTAGCATAGAATTAGAATTGGAAGTCGATGCTGAAAATCCACAAGAATGTGCATCAAAAACTATCAGGAAATACTGAAATAGTAAAGACCAGGAACTAGACAGCAAGCAGATGACTACTGTTACAGAAGGAAAGCAGTGTACTTGGTCAGAAAGCTGGGCATCAAGATGACATGAATACCAGAAGGCAAAGCAGGGCAAGTAGTCAGAAGTCCAAGGTGTTATTCAATAATGAAATGAGCTAAAGGGTCTGAGCAAACCAATCAGAACAGAGTCAAGGTTCCCACACTTCTGTTTTAAGTCAACAATGGCAGTAGATTTCAACTCTGGGGCCCACTTCTGTGTTATTACTACCTTCTTCCACCTGGATCACTGTTGAGAAGGACACTACGATCATATCCAGGGTCAGGAAAGAATGTTCTGGGTGATTAGTTATGTCCCCAAGGCTATGAAAGCACAGTTGTCTCTCATTTGCTACC